TGGGAGTCACATAGAAGCATCAGGCATGGGATGCATGCTGGGAGTCACATAGAAGCATCAGGCTTGGCATGCATGCTAGGAGTCACATAGAAACAACTATTAAAAGTTAACTTTGGTCCGGGCAGTTGTTGGCTATAAGGGGGCTAAAAGTTAACCCCTAGCTGTTGACAGAGGAGCTGGCTGTAAAGCAGAGAACCATTGTTAGCAGTTAACCTGTAGAGCTGATGACTGTCAGTTTTCATCTCTTAAGCTTATAATTTATATTTCTGTATTCCTGGACCCTTTATATATAAAGGGGATTTATTAGAATGACTTACAAGCAGGTTATGGTCCGTCTAGTCCAACAATGTTATGAACAGAAAGCCCAAGAATACAGAAGTTGCTCAGTCCACAAGGCTGGATGTCTCAGCTGGTCTTCAGTAGATGCTAGAGTCCCAAAGAAGTAGGTTCTAATGCCAGTGAAGGAATGGACTTGCTAAGAAGGCTCGAGCAAGCAGGCAGAGAACAAAAGCTTCCTTCTTCCATGTCCTTATATAGACTTCCAGCACAGGGTGTGGCCCAGATTCAAGGTGTGTCTTCCTGCCTCCAGACCTACATTAAAGGTGTGTGTCTTGCACTTCAAGATCCAGATTAAAGGCATGTGTCTTCCTGCCTCAGGATGTGAATTAGAAGTGGATCGTCTTACTTCAAATTAAGAGAAAAAAAAATCCCTCACTGGTATGCCTTCCATTTTTGAAGTTTAGATGATTCCACCAGATGTAGTCAAGTTGACAACCAAGAATAGGCATCACACCCATGCTTTAACTGGATTTTGAGACAAAATCGTATTCACTGTCATCAGCCAGCTATGCTGAAAGTCCTATAACTTTCTCATACGAGTGGAAGTTGTGGCACAGTAGAACTGTGGACTGTTTTCATCAGTTCAGGTAAAACGGAGCACAACAGTGCCCCAATAAAGACAGTTAAGTTGCAAATGTGTATAAAATAGTAAAATATGGTATTAATCTCTCACAAGCTGTTGTTTAGCCTTATAAGCAAGGCATTTTATCCAAGTCTTGAAGGAGTCTTCTGGTATTCAAAAATAATCATGTCATACTCTCTGACTCAGACAAGCTTGTGTCATACTGCCTCATTGCTGAGTCTACCTAGAATGTTTCATCAGTGATTGTCTTCTGTGATTGTTATGGTTGGAAATAGGAACTGCATTCAGCTTCCCTGCTAGACTGCAGTTGTATAGTAGTGACCTGGATTATAGGGATAGATGTTATAATGACTCCAATATGTGAAGTTATTGAATTGGTTAGGGTTTCTTTTGCTGTGGTAAAACACCACGACTGAAAG